TAAGATAAATCACAGCCTACTTGGTAGTGCCCCCGCGCTAATATTATACACCTTAAAAAAAAAAGACATATTATCACATTGTGATATGCCCTTCTCGTGAATACGCTCTACAGCTGGGTTATATACCTACTTGTATCACAATGATTATGTGACACAATCCACAGAATAAATTTAATTCAATCTTTTTGTGCTTGTATTAGTTATATTAGGTATTAACTTTATTCATACATATTATAATACTATGGTATTAGATAAAATTACGGACTTGGCCAGTGGGTAAAATCAAGCCTCAAGGTGTAGGTAGTTGTCAAACGTATCAAGGTGGATTGATACACCTTGAACATACATATTAATATTATATTATATTACCTATTTAAATTCACCTAAGAAGTAAGAAAGTTATAAGTTATAACTTGTAGGGCGTAGGAACCGTTGGGTTCTGGACGAATACTGTTAACTATATAGGTCCTGAGTCTTGATTCCTGGGTGAACTTAGTCACACACTCACACTTAAATTAAATCATGATAAATTTATGTTTATTTAGAGGCTATTGCTTTAGTAAATTTTTGTGTGACACAATTTTTAAACTTTATCAGCCACATGCCACTAATTAAATCATGATAAATTTATGTTTATTTAGAGGCTATTGCTTTAGTAAATTTTTGTGTGACACAATTTTTAAACTTTATCAGCCACATGCCACTAATTAAATCATGATAAATTTATCATTAATCAAAATAATCAAATAGATAATGGTTTGCTTTGCTCACAGACTAAGATATACCTTAACACCTTACATACCTAACCGGTGGATCATGACCCATTTTTGGGTCGTGTAAGCTTTAAAATTGGGTCACGATAAATATTATTTTTAAAATAAAAATTGAATGTATAAGATAAAAAAAGTTTAAAAAAATAAGGCTGAAATGCACTTTACCACGCACCTCACGAATTTCAAAATTCAAATTTCAAGTCTATTTCTTTTAGACCTTTTCAAATTTGCCATATTAGAATATTACTAACATTAACAATGTATATTAATTCTATAGATAACACAATTTATTCGTAAATTCTTATCTCAATATCTTACTACGTTGATCTTTAAAAAATTGTCTTATTCTGTGGTAGAATCATACCAGTGTAATGTAATATGAAACATTATACTTTATATCCATTATGATTATAATATTATTTTTTATTATTTTTGGAACAAATGCACTTTACCCCGCCCCTCACGAATTTCGAAATTTTATAAAGAAGTGTTTTTCAACGCTGATTTCGAAACTGTTTGAATTTTTGTGCGGAAACCATTATTTTGGAAGTTATAGCCTTCCAAAGTTTGCGGTTTTACGTTAATACGCAATACGCATGCGCTCAACACCAATTGCGCTCAATTTTAATTGGACTACGTTCTATATTTATATCAATATCGCTATTTTATAACTATCTCATTATTACTAAATTGTTAATTAAATTATTTTTATGATAATAAAATAAGCTCTATTAAGTTATTTTGCAATTATCAACAAGTAGACAGGCTAATGAGTATATTATTGTTCCTTGTCAGTTAAAGTAATAATATAAGGGTGTCGGCACCTTTTGCGTGCCATTTGCGGTCAATTTATTTCTATCTACCTGTGACTTGACTATAAGATTTGAGTGCTATATATAATATTTTATATACTATATACTTAATTTATGTTAATAGGTATAATATAATACTTTTTTACTATAATTGATATAATTATATACTTGTCGAATTTCAAATATATTATTTTTAAACTTCCCTTCACACTTTTCCAGGCTTAGAACTGGCAGTACTTTTTACTTACAAATTCACATAATAATATATTTGTCAATCACAATTCACTGTACTTACTTTAGTCGTCAAACCTCGAGTTGCTCTGGGCAGCAGTAAATTAAACGTAAAATCGCAAACTTTGGAGGGCTATAACTTCCAAAATAATGGTTTCCGCAAAAAAATTAAAAAAATTCCTAAATCAGTATAAAAAACCCCGTCTTTTTGAAAAAAATTTTGAAATTCGTGAGAGGCGTGGTAAAGTGCATTTGTTCCAAAAATAATAAAAAATAATATTATAATCATAATGGATATCAAGTATAATTTTTTATATTACACTGGTATAGTGGTATGATTATACCTTCTACCACAGAATAAGACAATTTTTTTAAATTGTTTAAAGATTCTACGTAGCAAGATATTGAGATAAGAATTTACGAACAAACTGTGTTATTTATAGAATTAATATACATTGTTTGTTAGAGTCCTATACTCCTATTCTACTAAGGCAAATTTTAAAACGTCTAAAAGAAATAGACTTGGAACAGTTGAAACTGAAGATGATTAACGAATCGCGCTTAGTCAAATTGATCCAAGGTAGAATTTATTATGTGAAAACACTCAAGGAAAAAGTTCACATTAAATCGTTTGCATCATATTTTTATTTTATTTTATATTTTCATATGAATTCTATCTATAAATTCTGTCTAGTAATAATTAAATATTCTACTTACTAAAATGTAATTTTTATTTATTCAGTTTTAATAGTGCTACTGCAAAGCATAAGGCAATTTTAGCTTTTTTACAAAACTAACGTGGGTCGCAAAAATTTAGACATAAAAAAGTGGGCCACGAGTCCAAAAAAGTTGAAGACCACTGCTTTAGAAGATCTAAGAGCAGAGAATAGAATATGGCGAATATGCCAAGAGCCCTAGACCAGTAAGAACTAAGACCGTGCCACCGTGGTTGCTTTGCTTGATGCTTACAAAACAAATAACTAAACAGTGTAGCCCGATAACACAGAAATAATATGCAATTTGTTTTGCCATCTTGGAAACCTGACGTGGGTTTAATATATTCAGTTGGTAGCATTGAACTCTATATGATAACTGGAATGCTTACCACCAGCCATAAGACAAATGTAAATATAACCGAGCTAGCCTGTTAGAAAAGGATAACAGATAAGAATGGTGAAGCTATCTTTTTCTATCATACATCATATTATGTTATGAATTTATGATTTCTCAACGTTAAATATAATAATATTCGTTTGATTTCAAATTTTTTCGTACTTTTTTAAATTTTAGCTTAATTAAAAGAAATACGCTAAAACAAGGTCCAAAAACATCCCTTAGGCATAAATTAAACAAACTTATTTTATTTAACCATGTTTAATCTGAATTATTTTGTGTATTATAATAATCAGTTTATATTATTTAATTAAACTTTTATATTTTTTACTATTTTTATACTATATGACTTCAGCAATCTTGTCATTAGAAATTGTGCATGTTAAATACTTTTACATTTTAATTGAGCTTGATTTATTTTATAATTAATATTTATTTTCATTGTATGCTTTTATTCTAACTCTACTGCTTAGCTATTTATGCTCTTATTGTTTTTAAAACTTATTTATCATAATATAATTTTGTTAATTTATGGTGTTTGCTTTTTTTTTATGCTTTAATAAATATTTTTACTAATTTATAGTTGTATTATCATTACAGAAAAATATCTAGCTGAACGCTGAAGTCAACTCAACATAAGTTACCTAGTTAACTTAACAGATTATACAACTTCAAGATCATRACTATAGTTAATAAGGTATCTACAATTTCTTATAGTATCTTTAAATAATTATTTATTTTAGGACATTTTGGTCAAGAAGTATAACAAAAATATATTGAAGATTTTGTTTACTGGATCTTTCCAGTATTAATCGTTCCTAGATTATAAATCTACAATATTAAGTCAAGTACAATTTAAAGTAAGTAGTAGATACAGCTTCAGGTAAGTAGTGTAAGTAAATTTTCTTTTAATTATGAATAATATTAAAAATACTAAGTATGTGTTTATTTTAATAAATATTATTTCACAAAAAATAAAATTGTTGTTATTTTATATGCTTATAGTTATAATTAAAACCTTCTAACTTTCAATTTACTAGTTAATTTATTCCCAACATACAATTTCCCGCAACTTCCTTTACTTTTAGTGATTTATATGAAAACTGCAGAAGTCCACAAGAAAAGTATGTTTATATAATAATTGTTATATTATATTTATAATTGTTATATTCTGTGGTTTTATTACTTGTTAAATTATAAATTATTTATATTCTATTAAAATAATCAAAAAGATTATAAAAAATAAATAAGGAGGTACAAATATWAAGRAWTAAACTAAAATAATATTGAGGGAAATAAATCGTAAATGAATATTGGATGCATCATATGCGCGAATGCGCGATGTGCAAGACAAAGATAGTAACACCATTAGTATGCCCCATCTCTTTCTAACATTCCCGCTCGGGTAACACTGCTTGGTGAGCATTCCAGTTATCATATAGAATTCAATGGTTGATAGTCGTGTGGAAAATATTGTTATCAGTTTATCACAAATTTAGCTAAAATGCAAATAGATTAATAATTAAGATATTAATTTCTAAAACAAAAATTTAAATGAATAGACTAAATATTTTGGATCTTCAAACTCAAATCAGCACCTGTGAATCAATTGAAATTTGTCATAGCTGAACAATTTAGTGACACCAACATTTTGAGTAAGTACTTTRTAATGAATGAAATAAAATAAATTATGGTATGTTGTTGACTTTATACTTTAATAATATATAGTTACAGAAGAATTTAAGCATTAATGATGTTCCTTGATACATTGCCCCGGTTTCTTCCTACGAGGAGTAGTTACTTGGTTCTTTCTCGATTTAAGCATGTACAAGCAGCTCGTTATAAACGATCTATTAAGGGTAATAAACCATTAACTTATGAGATGGCTGGGCCACCTCACACTATTGCTCATATCAAGAGTTGGAATTCATGGAACACGTGTAAGATATATAGTTAAAAACATTAATATTTAGATCTAAATGTTTTGGTTTTTTCTGTTGTTAAGCTTTAGTGGACATTATTTTTTTCTTTTTATAGGCAATATGTTAGATGGCTTAAGACCTGCTGAAACTGCTATAGATGATGAGTTCATTCGTCGTTTCATGACTGGCACTTGGCATGATTTGATTGCTAGTGAAATTATCATTAAAAGACAACACAACATAATAAGAATAGCTGCCATAACGGTGCAAAAAATTAGTGTAACCAAAATATATTTCCTAATTGGTTATACGGAAGAACTTTTAAGCTATTGGCTGCAATGTCCCATCAAGTTAGAATTACAGTCTGTTGAAGACAGAACTGCAGTGGTGTTCAAATACATTTAGTCAAGTGGAAATAAATTATTATTTTGTCTATTAGAATTTTGATAACAATATCACTAGATTTGATGTAATAATATTAAATATACAAATACCTGCTTGTTTTTTTATAAGAATAAATTATTACATTAAAAGTTGGTATCAATGAATCCTAATGAGTTCCTGTTATTTTTTTCCATAAATGATAATTTTAGATGTTTAGTTTTAGTTACAAGCTTATAGCAATGTATTACATATAAGTTGACTTTATTAAAATATTCAACTACATGATATTATGGTGTAGGGAGAAAGGTTCTCACTACGCCAGGATAGCTTAAAGAAGCACACAACACAAAAAAAAAAATATTTAAATTATTTTTAAATGTTAAATTATTGTAGATATGGCTATATGAAATGATTTAGTGAAAATCTGATGCAAAAAAAAATTATTACYTTAAGAGATATTATAAAATGTAAAATAGCCGCGTGACGTCATTGGACCCTACTCTTCGTAATCGTCTATCTTATACGTGTAAAAGTTCCTCACTTCTCACAACGATTTACCCACCTTAACATTTTATTTTTGAAAGTTAATTTACGTATAAATGTGTGGTTTTGTGTGTTTAAGACGAYGCAAGAATCAGAATTTCTATATGACGTTTAGTTTTTTAAATATTTAAAATCTTAAAAATTATATTTTTGTTAAACGGCGCTCCATGGCGATTTAAATACGAAATAAAAATTCCGAAATTTCTCTTTTAAGATTTTAAATATTTAAAAAACTAAACGTCATATAAAAATGCTGATTCTTGCGTCCTCTTAAACACACAAAACCACACATTTATACGTAAATTAAATTTCAAAAATAATATGTTTAGGTGGCTAAATCGTTGTGAGAATCGAGGAACTTGAACACGTATAAGATAGGCGATTACGAAGAGTAAGGCCCAATGACGTCATGCGTCTTTTTTCAATTGCTCATAACTTATTGAATAATGTGAGTAGAAACGTAGAACTTATAACATTATCCTTATAATTGAACATTCTTTCAAATAAAAAAAACTTAATTTTTGTGTTGTGTGCTCCTTTAAGAAGGCTCTAACCTCCGCACATTATGATAAATATTTTAGTCATCTACTTCCTTAAATGTTATTCTTATATATTAAAATTTAAAAGAACATATCATATTAAAAGAGTTGCCATGCAGTAAAATGGATTGTAAAAAGCACTTACTAGGTACAGTTTTTGGGGTTTGGCACTGATCAAGCATGATATCTGATTGATGAGATTTTTTGTCTATGCATGACACATTGACACATAGGGTACATTAGCATCATAACAAGTATTTAGTTGAAGTGTAGGGACTCTGTGACAGTTGCATAAGATCTGCATGGTTATTTGCAAACTGCATAGGTAGTGTAAATAAAAGTGTTATTATAAATGTTAATCATATGTTATTATTAATATTACTAGAAATAGGAATGAATTTTAAGAAAAGTGACATTATAAAATTCAATTTTATTACATGGTATAACATGCTAGGAAAGCACAAATAGAACAGAAATAAATACATTAAATACTACATATTATGTTCTATAAGTGTTTTTTTTTTTTTTTTTATTGATCTAAATTCTAAAGACATCGGCGACAACGGCCATTAGTCGTAAACGTTGATTACATTTTTTTTTTCAAGTATCATAAATATATTGTTTAAATTAAATTGTACAATTCATATTTTCTTAAAAAAGTCAAGATTTGGAGTCTATAGTGTTTGTACTGTTACTTTGGTAGTATAAATTGATCAATACTATTATTATTGTATTTATCCTAAGAACTTTAGCTCCGTATACCAGTTATGGGCTTAATATCGCACGTCTTTGATGCGACGAGATAGCTTTAACAGTGATAAACTCTATACCAGAGGTATTTAAGCTGTGTGTCGTCGTACCCAAGTACGCCGCGAGAGTTGACAAAGGTAGCCGAGTCAAAGCACCGGAAACAGCGGAAACCAAAATTAATGTAAGTCATATATTTGAATAGTTTAATCCATTAATGCTATCATGGAGACGATAACCATAGGTACACATCACGTGACTATTTTGAGTTTTTTGATTCTTTTACTATAAGTCACTGTTATCGCAGATTATATAATCTGTGCTGTTATTATCACACGTCATGTTRGCCATAATATCCGTATTGTTTTAATAATAATTTGAAAGTCGTGAAAATATTTTGAATTTGTGAACAGTCAAAGGAGCCATGGGATGAAAAAGTTTGAATACCTCTGCTCTAAACAACTTACGACAGTGGTGTACTTGATCTGCCTAACCATATCGCCGGGTGATCAAAATAGTAATTATTGTACTATCGAAACACAATAATAGTTAATAAAATGTATTTTATTATTCAGTAATAAAATTTAAAATATTATACAAATCAGCGTATGAAATTGTGAACACACAATATTCAAGCATTATAATTGGCAGTTGAACACGCTTTTATCTTTGAATTTTACTATGACCCTAAGTAATATAGATAGAAAAAAATAACACCAGTTTAGAGCAAAAACATTTATCGTTGTTTTATAATTTTATTAAAATATGCATTATACATAAGACATTTTGTTAACATTTTACCGATGATGTATTTTAACAATAATTGTTATACAAATTACAAAGAAATGCAGTAGTATATTATTATAATGGTACACAACCGAATTGAAGAATTGTAACGTATAAGTATTACATTCAACAAAACTTATTAATTACCTATACATATAGTTTATATTCCAACAGAATACTCTTTAAGCAGTACAAACAATCACAAGATTCTGACAATATTAGGTATGGCTGTTATTAAATAAATTTAAAAATGCGATGATATTTATTATTTTCAGTTAAAGCTTAATTTTTTTTTAGCTAAATTATCATTCTTATCAATATATCTGCAGGACACCTTTATTGGAATGCCAATCTAGAACGATATTATCGTCGCACAATATTATGGGATCGGTTTGGTATTTTGTTTGATTTTATGCAGATTGCGAATCACTTTATGGAAGGACATTCATTACGAGCGTGTGAGGTTACGAAACGACCACGATAACCGACGTTTAATAAAGAACAACATAGACAAGAACAAAATATAGGTACTGATTTCGACGGAAATAACTGACAATTAGCGATTTTATAACGTCCGAGTTAATCACTTGGGTAACTATAAACTGTATGGTTACTCAATAATTAATATTTATACCGCGTTTGTCCTGTATTTCCAATAGCCGCGAATAAATACAATTAAGTAGAATGATTCGAATCAAAACATTAAACGCGACTAATGAACCGAAATAAATTGACACGTAATATTGTTCAAACGACTCAATAATGTTCAAAAGATTATTTGCGAAACGTCTTTCCGGAGCGGTACGTACCTACTTGGCTACTTACTGCACATAGCTAAACAACTGCGATGTGGGTGTGCATTTATATTATGTTTTATTTATTGTTCGTGTCTATTAAATATTCGTGTAAGATAATAATAATGTATTGAGTGCGGTAATTATTATATTGTGTTTGCTGCGTAGGCACACACGCGTTTAGTGATCGTATTATATAGGCATCGGCGCTGTTCGAAAGGGCATATTATTATTGTCGGTGAACCCGAKACCGTGGTGTATAATAAAAACCGCGGATTTGGTATTATTTTCACGCAGAGATCGTCTATTTTGCAATATATTATTTTTACAATAGACGGAAAAAAAACGATCGTTTAAGTTTCTATCTCGTGCAGTTGAGTTGCTGATATATAGTGTTTAATACCTAAAGAGTTATCCTATCGCTATAGCCACTATAGGTACCTAATGCGTGTGTTATACAATAAACATAAACGTAGATTTAAGCAATAGCAATTCTTCGTTTAATGAAATCTATTTTTTTGTTTAACCTTTCGTGTTTAAAAAAATCGTAGATGATATATAAATACGCTCGAGATTTGCCAGAAATTACTCGATAACTCAATGCGATTGGGGGAAGGGATAGTAAAACCAACAAAATTCAATGCAAAGTCGCATATTTTGTGTTAAATTATAGCAATGAGTTAGTTCAAAGTGATTGAATTAAAAGGATCGTAAAATAATTTTTACCGGCATCTATCATTAATAAAAATCAAATCAAGGAATGGATACGTTTCATTGAATCCTCTAACCATATTATGACCGGTACAGTGCGCACGCCGCACGATAATATAATATTGCAAACGGCAACGCGGTACGCTACATTTACGGTATTATTGAAGTAGTTTAGTCGGACAGACGAAAATGCATTTATAATTATTTAATAATATTATTCAATTGGATATACATTGTTATTCAAAGCAATGCAGGTAATATTATTATGTTATGGGTAAAGTGAATTGGCTGATTGGACTATGAACACGTTGTTATAAATACCTCGCGTTATACAATAAACAATCGAATCGATGACAAATTATACTCGTGTACTAGTTCAAATAATAATTAGCTTACTGATGGAATCGCATTATTTTACCAGTCTCCATCAAATCTTACAATTTGTGCATATACAATATAGATTTATAAATCATCAAGGTATGTTAAGATTATTATTAATAATAATAATAAAAAAAATCAACATTTTTGTACACAATTAGAAATGAAAACGCATCGTTTTCGATATAACCGCTTTATAACAAACAGGTGTAAATATATTAAAAGTTTTGTATATCTACAGAATTTAAATATATTTATTTTAGAAAACTCTTATTACTAAAATATTAAACGTGACTAAATATTATGAGCAATGAGCATACTTATAAAAATCATATGTATCGCTGTAGCAAGGTGCATAACGTATTAATCATTCAAAATAACTTATAATATATAGGTAGGTAAATTTTATGAATTAATGGTTATACCGTATACACCTTGACGATACTTCTTTTTATACATTGTATTGTACTATATAGTACCATCAAGACATTTGTTTTCTACGAGTAAGTAAAAATATAAGAGAGAGAAAATATGAGTGTGCACACTGTTCAGTTAGAGAGAGAGAGAGAGAGAGAGAGTTATGTATTCAATATTGAGAGAGGGAGA